ACTTACGGTAAAAAAGACTTTCACTCTTCACTTCCACTCATACGGTAGGTAAAATACAGAGAGGGGCCATAGAGAGAAAGATACAGCCTCCAGCAGGCGCTCAATTGTGCGCACCTGTTACTGCCTCACCAGCCCGGTAAAGCCTCGAGCATCCTCGGCAGGCTCCAGGTAGACTCTCAGCCATCTGGCTCTATCCAATAGCACCTAGCAGTAATCCCCACTAACCCTGGCACTGTATTGTAAGAACTCCCCAGTTATAAAAAATAGAAATAAATCAAAAAGCGAGCCAAATTGTAGGCCTATCTGGTTCGCAATCAAACATTTCTAGCGCTGGTGTGTTTTATTTTTTTTCTCAATGCCCCTCCGCGGCTCCGTAGTACACAAACATAAAACAAAAAATAAAGAATCTGAATTTAAACTCAATTTGTCTGACTTACATTTATCTCTTTCATATCATGAATGCATAGATCTGTGCTTTGGATGTGATATGCAGCCTGCCTGACAACATAGGCTACAGAGGCACTGGACCTGCTGCGCTCAGAGGTGGAGCGGCGTTTTGATCAGGAGGGACTCCGTGTAGCTGCAGGGCGAGAGCAGGCACTTCTTGAGGCGGCTCAGGGGAAACGAGAGCGGCTAATAGAGCTTAGATCGGGCCCAAAAAATCCAGCCCGATCCGGCCCGAGCCCGTGCACGTTATGTCTGGGACAGGATTTTAATTATGACGGGATTTTAATTATGATTTAAACCCGTCATTTTTCAATAAGTTGGCTGTTATAATTAAGAGTATTAAACCACAATTCTTGTTATTTGAATGACAGAAATAGGATCTTAATGAATGGCGTAACACGGAAGCATGATTATGTAATAAAACAGGTGTTTATTTTAGGATCCAGGTGGTGAAGGGCTGTGCGCGCACAATGTTCCAACAGGGGACAGCCCTCCATTCCGAAACACCGCCGTTCCGAACCAGCCCCACTCCGAAATTGATTTTCATTCAAGTTTGAGAAGAGTTTTGCACAGCGGCGACCGGATCTTTGCTCTCAAACCACAAAAAATGTGATGGCACAACAGTCTCCTTCAGTACATTATTCTATGCTTTCTTTTAATTTTCACATTGGCTAGTCATCCTATTTAATTTGTCTTCTGATTAAATCGGAACCGTTGAAACAAGTGTAGTGTGTAGGAAGCCTCTGCAAGTGATTGGTTGCTGGCAGACACTCTGTGCTGCAATAAAATGGTTAATCAGCAGTGCCGTGCACAGTAGAGCCGATGCGCTGCTGGTTCTGCTGGCCTGAATAGAATATAATGTCTATAGCCTTACTGTTGTGTACAGCCTTATAGACTGAGCTGAATAGTGATGCGCGGGTCGACCCGTAATGCCCAGGTCGGGCAGCAGTGATCGTCTGTTAAATTGGTCTGTAAATGATAGTTTGACATTATTATTATTATTACAATCATTAGGCTATTACTGTCACGGCATCAGAAGGTAATGATGCGTTGAGCAGGTGACAGTCCGCGGTCGTTTTCAAAGCACACTTGTGTCACGCACTCCAGAAACTTGTTGAAACTTTAAACAATAATTAATTGTACAAAACGGGGGAAACAAACGTTGACAAAAACGGTTATATAATTCATATTAAATCCAAAAGACAACGAAAAAACGGCTGTATAAAAATATGTTAAAAAAAAAAAAGAAAAAAAAAAAGAATATCGAATACCAAATTTTCATAACGAATACCTACCCATAAAAATGAATATTCGAATATCCAAATATTTGGGTACAGCCCTATCCATAAAGTGTTCAGGTTTCATGCAAACACTTTTAAGAAATAAACTGTTTGCTTTTTTCCTCCCAAGATAAAGTTCGTGATTAAATACATTATCTGACTCTTTGTCTTTCTTCACCATCTTTTTAATGAGAGAGGACAAGCGTGTAACTTGCTGCAAGATACTGCTGCTTTCACTAAAACACACTGTTGCCGCTGTTGCGCAAGCTCACACTCAACTCAGGCTGTACTTCAATCCCTGATCACTACGCACCTTTAACTAGTCCCTATTATTAACTGGACATTACACAAGTAGCCACGCCCACACGGTGACAAGCCCCAGACGCACAGCACTTTTTGGCCCCCCCACTTCTGAAATGAATCCGGCGCGCTTGGTCTTAAGTCCACACAAGTCTGCTGCGATGCATCCCCGGTGAAATGGGTGTTTGGACTGAACTTGGCTAGATGTGAACTTTGAATTGGAACAGTACTTGGGCTGTAACTGATGACGTGTCACAAGTCCACAAGAACACAAGTCCGCACAAGAACGCATATTGAGAAACGGCTCTAGTCTTGATGTTAGACATACTTTCAAATTATGTTTACTATTTGTCAACTGTACACATTGTTTTTATGTTTGAATCTTGCTAGCCTAAGGTCAGCTTTCTGTGTCATAGGGTTCTATGAGCTGACTGGTCTAGAAATATCTCCTGTTGTGTATTGAGGCTGTAGTCTGCAACTATCATGCTCTATCTTCTTTCATTTTCCTGTGTCTGCTGCCTCCTCCTATCAGATATAACAGCACTGTTGCCAAAGCAACAAAGCTATCGCCTCAGGCTTAGCCAGGAGGAGACATGGCTAACTTTCCTACCTTATAGTGAGTCCGTCTAATACAGGGTATGAAATTAACAAAATATTTTGCGGGCAATTTTGGCCCCCACAGTCTAAAAAATGGGGGCATTTTCAAAATGTTTGGGGGCCATCAAAAAATTGTAATTATGCTCTAACAATAAGCACATGAAAAGCAAAACCAACTAAGATAGTGTCTTCACTCTTCAGTAGAAACCACTATAAATAAAATAAATAATGGGTTACATAAAGTTATGGTTGCAAAATATCACTCAGATTTCCTACAATTCAACCAGTTTAAATGTGATGATTTAACCATTAATCTACTGATAGCAGTACTAATGATTCACCACATTACAGTTACTTTTACTGTTAAAAAGGCCAAATTACTGTAAATTCCTTAGATGCAATCCTGAAAGAAAGTTAATTTAAAATTTAACATTCATTCTACCTTAATTTTTCATTAATTTGTCATTGTGTAGACACAGATCACCCAAGAAATTGTTAATTTATACTTATGGTACAGCAAAGCCCCCTCCCCTTCTCTGTCAGATTACTTTCATGTAATCAGTGCAATCTCGTTGATTATGTCTGGAAAATGAGTTGTAGACGCGACAGTAAATTAATTTCATGAAAATAAAATTATACTTTAATGTCAGATTGTAATACTATTAAAAATATAAATACATATAGTTGTTTCGAAAATTTGGGGGCAATTTTGTCCCCCAGAACATGGCTTTTGGGGGTATTCTTGGCTAAATTGCGGGCCAGATGGCCCGTGGCCCTTGCTAATTTCTGACACTGGTCTAATATAAAAGGCAGGCTTAACCTGACATTCTAAAACCAATCTAAGGCCAAGGGGGGCCCTGGACAAGGCTGATCCCTAAAAACAAAGGCACCAGATGGTAACAGGAGTTTACCTGGGGGGGGGGGGCTGGACAAGGCTAGATTTTCAAGGTAAAAGCCCCCTTAATGATATATTAATTAACTAGGGGCTCACAACAAAGCTGTTTTCAAAATAAAAGCCCATAGATGGTAGAATGGTTAAATTCCAAACTTTTTTAAAAAAAAATGTATACTTGCAGTGTACCTACCTGCTCGCAATACTTTTGTTACAGACATCAATTAAGCTTCAGAGAGATTGCAAAGTAATTATAGTTCTGCCGGACGTTTTTCAATCAACTATTACTTTTGCAGTTTCAGGAACAGAAATCATTCAAATGCCAAAATGTTACACTGCTAAAGAACATTAAATGCTTGTTTTGACTTTTTGCTATATGTTATGCTTTATGAGTCAGAGCATTTATTCATTAAGCCTTCAGGTTAATTTATTTAATCTTCTACCTTTAACAGTATTACAGTTTAGCTTCTTGATTTCAATGTCTTTCAGCTCTAAGCTTCTTTGGTTAATGAAGTTCAGCTTTCTACTCTGCCAGTTTTACATTTCAGTTTCCAGGTTTTTCAGCATTTGGGCTTTCACAATTTCAAGGCAATTCATTCCACATTTCTCTATCTTTCAGCAATGCCTTGCGATTAACTTTAGCTTTCGGCATTCACACAACAGCATTTCAGCATTTCCTTCAGGAAATGCATTTTCAGGTTTGTCGTAATTCAGAGATCAGAATAATTTGTGTAGAATTAAAGTCTATGTTCTTGTCTAAGAGATAAATGTTCTCTGAGAATTAGAGTTGTAGTCACCACCATGTCTGCTACATAATAGAATACCAAAGTGTACCTGTAATACTAAAATAACAGAATACTTAAGTGTACATATGATACTACAATAACAGAACACTAAAGTGAACTTATAAGACTAAAATAATAGAATACTAAAGTGTAACTATAATACTAAAATAACAATACTAAAGTGTACCTACAACACTAAAATAATACAATACTAAAGCATATATATATAGAATACTAAAATAACATAATACTTAAATATACCTACAATATTACTGATATACTAATACTAAAATTATAGAATACTAAAGCATACCTACTCAATGTCATTAACCAGGAGCTTGCCTACATGGGACATATCAAGCAGGATCATCCCCCATGTTAGAAAGCAATATGAAGCTTTTAAAGACTCCAGCAATATTACACTGACTTTAGTTGACTCCAGTGGTCTGCACAGTTTAATCTCACATACTATGCTGAAAAGGAACTCAACAGTGGAATGAAGTCAGTATTGACCAAAATCCAGCAGTTACGTTTTCAGTGAATTGTTGAGGCCATGCATCTAAAATATTCGAATTCAGTTCTTATAACTGGGCTAATCATTTAAAATGTATGTGTTTGTATAATAACTTGACTGCATTTTTGTGTGCATGTGTATGTGTGTGTGAGTGTGTGTGTGTGTGTGTGTGTGTGTGTTTGTACTTTTTCTGTGATGTCTAAGTCGCAGGAGTCGATGCTGTCTGTGAACAGATCCTCTGTGCTGCTGCCCTGACTGGACCCAAACACACTATGGTTGGCCTGAAACAGCTGCCTGCAGGGAGGAGAGGACACATTAGAAATCAACAGCGAAGAGAGACACATCATTACCCACTTTACATGATGATGATTACATACAAACTGTGCCACCTTCTGAAATTGCTCTCCTATTATAATACTCTAATTATCACCTTGATAAATGCTGAATCGTTGGGATCTGTTACATGTGATTGGCCGCCCCCTTCCTTTTATGCAAATGAAGATTCACTTAAGTATCTTAATTTGTAGGTCATTATTAGAAAGGTCAGGTCACTCACCGCCCAAATGCTGTGCTGGAAATCTTTCTATTAGGGCTGAAACACAAGAGAGAGACTGAGTCACACACATCTTGCTGCCTCAACAATAACCAGTCCTGCCAACTCTTATGCATTGACACTTTTTTACACACCACATATCCATTTTCCCACACAAAGAAAATATTATTTATAACTGATAACTTAGGCCAGGGCCACTGCTGACCACTTGGCTGCCCTAAGTGCCCACTTTTTTTTGCCAAATTGGGAGTGCAAAAAATGCATTTTAATTAATAACATAATTCTCCCGAGTCAATATTTTAACGTCCACTTTTTTGCTGATGATTGTATTTTATATGCCCCCGGTTCTACCCCATCCCAAGCCCTGACTCATCTACAGACTGCCTTTGATGCTTTGCAATTATCCCTCCATAACCACAGACTAGTTTTAAATGCAGAAAAAACTAAATACTTGGTATTCTCCACTTCCACCACTAGTGACTCTGACTATCCTGCCATCAAGACCTTAAATGGCACCCACATTACTCACTGACTAATACAAATACTTAGGAATTTGGCTTGACAGCAATTTATCATTCAAGATTCACATTCAACAGGTAACTCAAAAACTAAAAATCAAATTAGGCTTCTTGTACAGGATCAAAGTCTGTCTGTCTCCCTCCAACCGAAAAATCATTGTACTGTCAACCTTCATGTCTGTCCTTGATTATGGGGACATCTTGTTTTGTCACACTGCCCCATCAACTCTTCAGAGCTTCAAAGCTCTACTGCTGAAACTTCCTAATTACCTCACATCTCTTCTCTCATTAAAATCCAGTAACTATTTAACCTTAGATATTCCATATACACGCACTAATATTGGCAGAACTGGTTTCAGATAGTATGCTCACTTTAAATGGAATGATCTGCAATCTGCCCTTAAAATTGAGACATTCATTCATCTTGGAGATTTTGTTGTGTGATGTTTACTATGATTGTTGTAACTGTTTCTGCTAATTCCTTTTATATCTTGTTGTTTTTGTTTGTTGGTTGTGTTGTGTGTTGTTTTGTCTGCTGATTGTGAATGTTCCTTGTTCTCAGGTCTCTCTTGTAAAAGAGATCTTGATCTCCATGAGACTGCCTGATAAAATAAAGATTAAATAAAAATAAAAAATATATTTTACACCCACACACACACACACACACACACACACACACATAAAGCATCAAAGACTGAATGAATTTTTAAATTACAGGGAAAAAAAAGGAAAATTGAATGAATAGCATGCACATTCACTTTGAAGGTGCCGTATGTTCAGTCAGTGTGTATTCCTGTCACTTTATCTATAGGACTAAGTACACCTCCAGGGCCAGGGGTCCACTGTCTCATAATCTGCATATGATTACAATGGGCACATACTCTAGTTGATCTGCCATGTATTGGTTGTTACAATACATTTGTTGCTATTGCATCTGAGACACAGAGACACAAAAACAGCCACCCCATTGGGAAGATGTTGCCATAGCAACATCTCATGCGCACTGTCTAATGTGGCTGCAGCATCTGGTACCAAGAATAAATCAGAGGGTGGGATTTGGGTGTATGGCTTATGGGTAGGCTATCTGAACACTGTTATATGGGGGCGATGCTGTGGCAGCAGCAGAGTGTATCTTTGCTCCACTCGTCATCTACCACCCACTGTAGCTGCCATCAGAGTCAGTTATACAATTTAAGTTCATTTAATATTTTTGAGACAAATACAAGAAGAATTTACGTTTTAGGAAAGAATATTTTTTGTTAATAAATATAAATAAATAAATAAATTGATTAACAATTAGGAACATAAAACCTGGTAACATATGTCTAAGAGGACCTGTCTTATATTTTCATAGAAGAAATAATGTTCTTTTGTTGCTGTGGGGTAGGGGCAGATTTGTTGCTACACTCTATATGCATGTGGTGCCAGACTCAACAGAGAGCACCTGTAATGTTTAAGTTACTTTGCTTTGTAAGTTTTATGAAGATTTGAACTATGCTAAGACTTGTTAAGCCTGAAGTTTTCTTTCTTACTCACCTTGAGTTAATGTGGCCAATGAGTAGTCACGGCATGTTGGATGGCATGTTTGATAGAATGTTTGATAGCATGGATGTGCAAATAAATGCCCGTAACTCCAAGAACACTTTGAGCTTGTGATTTCAACTGGAGGGGAGTTATACCCACCACTGTTTGGTCTGATTCAGCCTTTGTGTTTATGCTCCCATCCTCATGTGTTGTATGTTTTACCTGTTGGCCTTGAGGTTTCGAAGTCGAGCCTCAAGGTCATTGAGTAGATTCACTTTCTTGCAGCACTGAGAACAGTATATGTCCAGCAGCTCACTGTTATACAGCTGCCTTATCTTCTGAGGAGTCTGTCCAGCGCTGCAAATGCAAAGAATACATCGATGTGAAATGTAGAACTATATGAAAGATATTCAATATAATTTGATGCAACAACAAATGTGTTAACAATGATTCAGGAAGATTGTTTTATTATTTTCTTATTATGAAGAGCTTGTGACACAGTTCAAGAGAGGCATCTGTTGGCCCTTTTCACCGCAGACATTTTTAAGAGGTTTTTATATGCACCTGCCAGTCAGCATCTGTGGTCATCCCAGGGAGTACAGTCTTATCTTGGAAAGTGTTTAGGTCATGTATCTGTGGCACTGAGGTCTCTGTAGCATTTTAAAGGTAAGATGTAGTGTCATTTGGCTGAATGAAAAGATAACATAGATGTTTTTGATCGGGCAGTTAATATACAGTAGCTGTCACTATGTACTTTTGGCTCTTTATGTGTACAGATAATATATTACTTGAATAAAAATGTAGAAATATAAATGAACTGAGGGATTAGATTTAATTCTATTGAAAATATACATTACAGGTGCACCTTTGACTGCATCTCATAGTCTCATCATCTCAAAAGCTCCAAAAAAGCTAGTCAGTGAACCTTTTGAGTTGCATATATTTTGTATGAATACAAGTATATAGTTGTGTCCAAGTGTGACTGACAGAGCTTGACTAAGCAGTTGATGTTGTTATAGACCTGTTTCACAGTGTGGGAAGTGAGCAAGGCAGGCAGCAGTGACAAAAAACTGCAGTCAAAACAGATTGTTTTCAACAGTCTTCACAGAAACACTGACATCCTTTTCAGCAGCAACCAGCAGCACTATGGGTCAGTCAGACAACAAACATTTCCTAACTTTTTGGCAACCACAGTTTTGCCCAAGGTGGCCCAACTTTGACATGAAAATCAAGTGTGTTTGTGTGTTTCAGTGAAGGTGAGTGCTTCTGTTCTGCCAAATGGCTGGAGGGGAAAAGAGGGAGGGGGGCATTACTGTGTTGTAACTTAATCACACATAGTCCAATCTGCTCTAAATTTAACATGCTGGACAAGAGTCAGGGCCTGAAGACATCTACACGCTCACACTGACTCATACATATGCCACCTGCTGACAACAGGATATCAGCCTTATGTCACAAAGATCAGTTAGTTCACATAAAATTTACATGGTGTGGTCTACACGTGATATTCAGCAACACAATGATAATTACTGTGTTCTCTAGTGCCACGTAGTGGGAACAAGAAGTGGTACACAATTTGTGATTCGTCATTTCCAGCACCACACACTCCATACAGGAACTGTCTATGTCGTGCGCACAGTGTTGCTGACAAGAAGGTGCAAGGGCTCGTTAATCACTGCTTGCAGATTTAATAATTATAGCCCAAGCATCAGTTGGTGCAAGGAACCTGTTGAAAACCCACTCTGTTTATTATTTCACAAATGAAATTGCTTTTTAATTGCTTTTGTGCTTATTGTGCTTGAGTGTTGAATTTTTTGTTGAAAATTGTCTCACTAGCTCCTCCTAGAAAATTTCAACAAAGCAGTCCCTGTGGTACGTTTACCCTGGAGGAACAAAAATTGGGAGGCACATGTAACATCCCAGGACTTCAAAAAATAAGTCTCTCTCTTAAAATTAGTCTTAATTTTTAGTCTTAATTTTATACTTCTCCCAGATATTTTACAGATTGTCTTTTAGCAGATTAACTTGATCCACCTAAATTTTGTTTAGTATAATCCCATGACCTTCCTGATGCTAAATTGCAAAGCTTTTGGGCCCTATAATGCATGTAGCAAGTGTCATTGCTATTTAGATGCCGGCGCAGTTGTCATTTTCAAGCCCTGCGCCCTCTTCGTCTAACTAGCAAATGAACTTGAGCTACTCTGGGAATGTTAATCTAAAAATGAGGAGTGGTAAGACGCAGTCATGGAAAGTTGCTAGTTAGATGAAGAAAAAAGCAAATGCGCCAGTGACCAACAAAAACCTGGTCTAAAGTCAACGGCGCAGTATTTCGCTGTTAAACAAGTTAGTAATATGCGTCTCTAGGCGGGTGCACAACGCGCGTGCACTCTGCTCAGACACACACGGAGCAGCCACACATATGCAAAAGATAACAAATAAAAATATGATTACAATGTGAACGATTATTATTGTGCACATTACAATATTTTTCAGAAACACGTCTTAATCATTAATCAGAATGATCTAATCGCAGTAATAATGATCATCATAATCCGGGAGGTCCAAGCTCGCAGTGTCCGAATATATGGAACTGCGAGCAGACCTCCACAGGCTGATGATGCATAGCCTGTAAAATGAACTTGTCTTTCCCAAATGAATTGTGATCATTTTGGCATGTAAATCACAAAATCAAAGATGTGAAAACGTTTCATAAACTTTATTTTGACATAAACACAACAATAAACAGCTTCTGTGAACTAAAAACGTAAACTTAGAGCCACGTACAAATGTATATAAAAAAAAAAAGCTTTTAGAACGTAAAACTGAGGATCATCTTGTCTGGAGGAGGAGGAGGAGGAGGAGGAGGAGGATGCACAGCGGCCGCACAGCCGGGGGCACCCAGGGGAAGCTCCGCAGCCCGCGCGCAGCCAGACCAGACGGGCCCGGGTGCAGCCACGGGACCAGCCCTTCCTGAGCCTTCAGGCAGGGGGTTCAGGATGCTGGAGAGGGAGCTGGGCTCTCTAATCTCCCGGGTTAAAATAAAATTGAATAACTTACAATTTGTTGACAGCGTTTCTCTCGTGCGCGCGCTCTCTCTTGCTCTCTCGCAGTCTCACTCTGTTTCTTTTCTTTTGACTTTTCTAAGATGACAGATGCTGAATATATACTCCCTATCTGATGCTGTGGCTGTTTGTGGCTGGCTGAGAGGGATGTGAACTTATTAGTTTGCAGCTGTGCTAATCAAATCAGGTTAGGTTTCCATTACATGTGCCAAACTGTGCCAAATGGTGCCAATCCCCTTTGATCTGTCATCAGATGTGACGGGACAGTCGATATAGAGATACAGTTATCGTCTCCTCAGCTGTAAAACGCTCACTCTTTCCAGTTGGTAGGTCCGCCATCTAACTAGCTCTCCGCTGTGCACTCCAATTGCGCCTCTCTTAAAGGGAATCAGAGGTGACACTCTGATTGGCTTATGGAATGATACGCCCAAAACACACCCATGACTAATTCGCAGAGCAAGTCCAACCCTTTTAGACTCTCCGCCATGGCGCACAGTCTGAAAACGTGCTGTGTAACTAGCAAGTGACTGGGACACGCCCATGCGCCGCATGCCGTCCGCCGCCCGCTTTAGACCATCTAAATAGGGCCCTTTGAGTTTTCATTGAAGGGTGTTGCAAATTTTGACGTTTTGACATGATACAGGAAGCTTTTGTAATTTGACTTCATGGAGTCCACTCTGCCCTAAATTTCACATGCTATGTAAGAGTCCAGGCCTAAAAACATCTGCATGTTAAAATGTAGTCATACTTACAGAGTCACCTACTGACATCAGGAAATGACAGATTCTCTTTGTTGATTTACCCTTTCTATCAGGTTAACCAGATCCACCTCAAATTTGTTCAGAAGAGTCTCAAGCCCTTGATAATGCTCAGCAGTGAAGCTGTTGCATGTTTATCAAATGGCTTTGGTATTGTGAGGCATTATTTGCCATGAAACTTCATAAACAACTCTGAAATCAACTACAACCAAATTTTGTAAGCATACAAGCAAAAAAACATTCTATATCTGATTACAGGACAGTCTTGCATTACAATGTCCCAATATCTTTGATTTAAGGTCAACCACATAAATGTTTCATTTAATATGGTTTTTGTGCTTGTGTGTGACAAGGAGGTATGATAGAGGCCCCAAGAAAATTTCAATGAAGCAGCCCTTGTGGTGTGTTTGACTAAGATGCACACAATTTGGTACAAACATATATCACCTCTAGACTTGAAAAAAGTCTCTTAGGTCCATGCTCATGCTCTGAACTCAACAGGAAGTCAGCCAGTTTAACTTAATTGTGAAACTTTATGCTCAAAACAAACTCTTCGCCAACTTCTTCTAACATATTAACTTAATGCACCTTATTCAGTGTAATCTCAAGACCTTCATGATGCTACACTGCAAAGCTTTTGAGTTTTTGTGTTGTTGACATAGTGAGGCAGTCACCGTGAAGCAGTGATGATATTCAGCACACTGTTTTTATTATCCAGTAAAAGGCAGTGTTGCCTTGCTCATGAATGTAAAGCACTGCAGTGTATAATCTGCGTATTTGATATTTAGGCAGTTTGCTTTTCCATATGAGAACTGTATTCATTTCGCAAAGTGAGATTAAAACAACATGCCTGTCAAGAGAGACTGAGACAATAACAAAACCTACTTGAGCATAAAAATCAATGCAGCATTGCTTAAAAATGATATACCACGCAGGGAAGTCATAGGTGGATAAAGTCAGCAGTGATGATGGTGAAGACTCAACTCCTGACAGTTTCTCAAGAAGATCAGAGGAAGATATTGAAAAAGGCTATGATCCGTGTGAGGAGGACATGTTAGTAATTTTCATCACATTATTGTTTTGTATCTATAAAATATGTGGTTATATAGGTTATATTTATCAATATTGTTATAATATGTATATATTTATATGTATAATGCATAGTCACCTGGAGCACTTGACTTCACTAGTGGATATAATTATTTAAAAAAAAAAACTATGGAATATTTTTTTTTACAATATTTATAAATATTATAATGGTATATTATTAGGGACCTCGGCCGAAGGGTGAGGACCCTATTGTTTGTGGTGTGTTTCTTCTTTCTTTCTTTCTTTCTTTCTTTCTTTCGTTCTTTCTTTCGTTCTTTCTTGCTTGCTTCTTTAGTCTTACTCCCACCGTCTCTTTGAACCCAAATTTGACCCCCTAAACATGCTCAAAAACTCACCAAAATTGGCACCCATGTCAGGACTGGCGAAAAAAATGATAAAATGAAAAAAATAACCCCAAAAGTGCCCAAATGGGCTCTCTAGCACCACC